CCCCTTTAGGATATTCGCCACCCCCCCCCCATATATGCGATGTGGTTTATTCAAATAATTTCGTGATACCTTCATCGTATTAGTAGTGCCTTAAGGCCCATACAGACCGGACGCTATTTGGCAACGCGACGCGAATTTTCAGTTTTCAATGACATTTAACGCTAACAGTTTCCATTGTTTTTCAAATATTCGGGACCACTTAGCAATTCTAGCTATTTGGTCTGCATACCTTGTAAAAATTTTATCCGTTGACGGCTTTATTTGTTTTTGAAAACTGAAAATTCGCGTCGCGTTGCCGAATGTGTGGGCCTTTACACGTTTGAGAATTTAACTTTACAAAACTAAAGTTTTTTTGTCTTTTTTGAAACGAATTATTGCAGTATTGGCAAGTATTACCATTCAGAGATTTACAAACTAATATTGAAACTGTAAAAGACAGTTTCATGTAAGGCGCATTCACTAATGAGTAATGACAACTTACTAAGGCATACATTTTCCAAAACGATTGTGTAGCCCTTAGTCGCTCTCAGTCACTAATATTTTTTTTAGGGGGGGGGGACAAAAAATAATTGGGGGAGGGGGCATTTCCCTCCCCACTCTTGCCCCCCTGGCGCCGCCACTGCGTGCATGGGAAAACAATTACTGCGATTTTGAAGCAATAATTTTTTTGGGGCAACAACTTGCAGTGAAAATTGTCTTGTACTTAGTATTCAAATTAAATACAATAGTCGTACAGTCAAATAAGCGATAGTACTTTATTGAACGATACATTCCGAATGAAAATAATAATAAAATACTTTAACAAAATTAATATTTTCCTTTCTTCTTTAGATATAATATGTCATTTGTGTAGAAGAAAGGGTCACAAGAAGTGGAAATGCCCACTTCGTCCGAAGTCAAATAGTAGAAGAAGAGGGAGCAGGGGTGGGAAAAGAGGGGGGGATAAAAATGTAAATATATATTTGTGAAAAAAATATATACAATTTCGTAAACTTCCGACAGGCATTAATGAAATATATATATGGTATCACCTCCCTGTGGTATGTCCCTCAATACGTTTACTTTACCTGCATAATTTGGGACCAAATGAAGTTATGAATTATGAAAGAACAGATTACAAAAATCCTGCATGAGCAACCTTTCCATTTAGTCGGGGAATCTACAGGGTTGTTTATAGATTGATGCCACCCAAGTTTCAACAACCGGTGGAAAGAGGAGATAATTCTGTACAAGATATGAAAGTTTTAAAAAATCATGTAGAATAGCACCTGAGAAATTTACACTTTAAAATGCTATTCTTGACAGTGCGCGTGCGCGCTCTATATCTATAATTAGTATTCTCTTACAGTTAATTACGGTTGCCATTGAGTAATTTTAAAAAGAACAAAACAATAGACACTCGGAAAATAGCCAACATTTTATTCAACGTTTCTACTAGGTTTCAGTCGAAACGTTGAATAAAATGTTAACTATTTTCGGAGTGTCTATTGTTTTGTTCTTACAGTTAATACCGTACAGAATGAGGCCGAATTTCGATTATTTATAGACTGATGCCGCCCAAGATTAAATAACCAGTGGAAAGAGGAGATAATTTTATACAAGATAGGAAAGTTTTAAAAAATCCTATAGAATAGCAGCGGTGAAATTTATAGTTTAAAATGCTATTCTTGACAGTGCGTGCGCGCTATTTATCTATAATTAGTATTGTCTTACATATTAGTACAGTATAAGACCGAATTTCGATTGTTTATAGATTGATGCCGCCCAAGGTTCAATAACCAGTGGAAAGAGGAGATAATTTTGTACAAGATATGAAAGTTTTAAAAAATCCTATAGAATAGCAGCGGAGAAATTTATAGTTTAAAATACTATTCTTGACAGTGCGTGCGCGCTATGTATCTATAATTAGTATTGTCTTACATATTAGTACAGTATAAGGCCGAATTTCAATTGTTTATAGATTGATGCCGCCCAAGGTTCAATAACCAGTGGAAAGAGGAGATAATTTTGTACAAGATATCAAAGTTTTAAAAAATCCTATAAAATAGCAGCGGTGAAATTTATAGTTTAAAATGCTATTCTTGACAGTGCGTGCGCGCTATGTATCTATAATTAGTATTGTCTTACATATTACTACAGTATAAGGCCGAATTTCGATTGTTTATAGATTGATGCCGCCCAAGATTCAATAAGCAGTGGAAAGAGGCGATAATTTTGTACAAGATATGAAAGTTTTAAAAATTTCTATAGAATAGTAGCCGAGAAATTTATAGTTTAAAATGCTATTCCTGACACTCAGACAGTGCGTGCGCGCTATATATCTATAATTAGTATTGTCTTACATATTAGTAAGTATAAGGCCGAATTTCAATTGTTTATAGATTGATGCCGCCCAAGGATCAATAACCAGTGGAAAGAGGAGATAATTTTGTACAAGATATGAAAGTTTTAAAAAATCCGATAGAATAGCAGCGGTGAAATTTATAGTTTAAAATGCTATTCTTGACAGTGCGTGCGCGCTATTTATCTATAATTAGTATTGTCTTACATATTAGTACAGTATAAGACCGAATTTCGATTGTTTATAGATTGATGCCGCCCAAGGTTCAATAACCAGTGGAAAGAGGAGATAATTTTGTACAAGATATGAAAGTTTTAAAAAATCCTATGGAATAGCAGCGGAGAAATTTATAGTTTAAAATACTATTCTTGACAGTGCGTGCGCGCTATGTATCTATAATTAATATTGTCTTACATATTAGTACAGTATAAGGCCGAATTTCGATTGTTTATAGATTGATGCCGCCCAAGGTTCAATAACCAGTGGAAAGAGGAGATAATTTTGTACAAGATATGAAAGTTTTAAAAATCCTATAGAATAGCAGCGGTGAAATTTATAGTTTAAAATGCTATTCTTGACAGTGCGTGCGCGCTATGTATCTATAATTAGTATTGTCTTACATATTACTACAGTATAAGGCCGAATTTCGATTGTTTATAGATTGATGCCGCCCAAGATTCAATAAGCAGTGGAAAGAGAAGATAATTTTGTACAAGATATGAAAGTTTTAAAAATTTCTATAGAATAGTAGCCGAGAAATTTATAGTTTAAAATGCTATTCTTGACACTCAGACAGTGCGTGCGCGCTATGTATCTATAATTAGTATTGTCTTACATATTAGTAAGTATAAGGCCGAATTTCGATTGTTTATAGATTGATGCCGCCCAAGTTTAAATAACCAGTGGAAAGAGGAGATAATTTTATACAAGATATGAAAGTTTTAAAAAATCCTATGGAATAGCAGCGGAGAAATTTATAGTTTAAAATACTATTCTTGACAGTGCGTGCGCGTTATGTATCAATAATAATTAGTATTGTCTTACATATTAGTAAGTATAAGGCCGAATTTCGATTGTTTATAGATTGATGCCGCCCAAGTTTAGATAACCAGTGGAAAGAGGAGATAATTTTATGCAAGATATAAAAGTTTTAAAAAATCCTATAGAATAGCAGCGGTGAAATTTATAGTTTAAAATACTATTCTTGACAGTGCGTGCGCGCTATGTATCTATAATTAATATTGTCTTACATATTAGTACAGTATAAGGCCGAATTTCGATTGTTTATAGATTGATGCCGCCCAAGGTTCAATAACCAGTGGAAAGAGGAGATAATTTTGTACAAGATATGAAAGTTTTAAAAATCCTATAGAATAGCAGCGGTGAAATTTATAGTTTAAAATGCTATTCTTGACAGTGCGTGCGCGCTATGTATCTATAATTAGTATTGTCTTACATATTACTACAGTATAAGGCCGAATTTCGATTGTTTATAGATTGATGCCGCCCAAGATTCAATAAGCAGTGGAAAGAGAAGATAATTTTGTACAAGATATGAAAGTTTTAAAAATTTCTATAGAATAGTAGCCGAGAAATTTATAGTTTAAAATGCTATTCTTGACACTCAGACAGTGCGTGCGCGCTATGTATCTATAATTAGTATTGTCTTACATATTAGTAAGTATAAGGCCGAATTTCGATTGTTTATAGATTGATGCCGCCCAAGTTTAAATAACCAGTGGAAAGAGGAGATAATTTTATACAAGATATGAAAGTTTTAAAAAATCCTATGGAATAGCAGCGGAGAAATTTATAGTTTAAAATACTATTCTTGACAGTGCGTGCGCGCTATGTATCTATATTAATTAGTATTGTCTTACATATTAGTAAGTATAAGGCCGAATTTCGATTGTTTATAGATTGATGCCGCCCAAGTTTAGATAACCAGTGGAAAGAGGAGATAATTTTATACAAGATATAAAAGTTTTAAAAAATCCTATAGAATAGCAGCGGTGAAATTTATAGTTTAAAATGCTATTCTTGACAGTGCGTGCGCGCTATTTATCTATAATTAGTATTGTCTTACATATTATTACAGTTTTAGACCGAATTTCGATTGTTTATAGATTGATACCGCCCAAGGTTCAATAACCAGTGGAAAGAGGAGATAATTTTGTACAAGATATGAAAGTTTTAAAAAATTCTATAGAATAGCAGCGGAGAAATTTATAGTTTAAAATGCTATTCTTGACAGTGCGTGCGCGCTATGTATCTATAATTAATATTGTCTTACATATTAGTACAGTATGAGGCCGAATTTCGATTGTTTATAGATTGATGCCGCCCAAGGTTAAATAACCAGTGGAAAGAGGAGATAATTTTATACAAGATATGAAAGTTTTAAAAAATCCTATAGAATAGCAGCGGAGAAATTTATAGTTTAAATTTCTTAGCAAATTGTATTGAATATTTGTTGGCAGTGTGGATAGCTGTTAGGAAAGTATCGTTTTGGAGTGCTTTGAAATGCGTTTGTAGGTTCGTGTGCGGATAACCATAAAGGTACTAGTTAGCTAATGTGACCTGCATGGTTTATTTCTCCCAAATCGATTTGGGAAAGAAGAAATTGCTGTATTTATCATTTTGACTTTTGAGTGATTGAAATTAGTTAATTTACACGACATCGAATATCATGTTGAATGTCATGTTGAATCTCATGCGTAACACAAAATATGAACAAAAAACATTACCTTACCGTATCTGACCACATTCAATGCCTTCAGAAGTAATTTGGCCAAGTAAAGATGCGTTTAGGTGTCCAAAATTAACATTTTCAACGACCATAATTTACACTATATTAAGCTCTTTGTTTCAAAGTCAAACCGCCGAAGGATCAAAGTTCAAATTGCTGCGCCCAGAGTCCTCTTATTCCGTGCTACGTCATGTAATGTACACTATAGTGGTCGATACTATATGACAATCAAAGAGAGTTAAAAGCAAGTCTAGAGTCCTCTAAGCTCTGGCTTATCCGCTCGCGAGATAACTATTAAGGTTTTACTTTTTATGAAAATGCTGAGATCCATGTGATTGCGATTCATACTACAATATGGAGTCTGAATAACAACAGAGACACCTGATCAGTTGAAATTATTGCATGTGTGTATAAAAAATATTATATAGAAACTATAACGATTAAAAATCGTAATATGGCAGTAATATGCATGTGCATGCATGGTGCAATTTAATAATTTAATTCAAGAATATTGCAAAAACAACTTCCTTATTTTGAGAAAGATAATCTTACATTGAGGAAATTAATCATTCCATCAATCAAGAAACGGTTAATTAATGTATCAGTATATTTTCAAGAGAAAACGTCTTATGAGTTATGTTGAAAAACGAGGTTCGTTTTAATAAAGCATTCATGCAGTTAGAGGAAATAACTTATCATTTTAAGAAAACAGTTATATGTGGAATTAACTATATTATATACGAAGTATTTTTCTTCAGAAATAATTTTCTTATTTTAAGAAAACCGGATTATCTTAAATCAAGAAATATATTTTTAAGAAATAATTTTCTCATTTTAAGAAAACAGTTATCTTAAATCAAGAAGTAATTTCTCTTGAGAAATAATTTTCTCATTTTAGGAAAACAGTTTTCTTAAATTAAGAATAATTTTTTTCTTAAGAAATGATTTTCTCATTTTAAGAAAACATTTTCTTAAATTAAGAAAATAATTTTTCTTAAGAAATAAGTTTCTCATTTTAAGAAAATATTTTCTTAAATTAAGAAAATAATTTTTCTTAAGAAATTGATTTTTTGCTGTGCTATAAGCCCAAAAGCGTTTAACTAGAAATAGTATTTCGAAAGTTATTAAGCACAAAAGATGAATTGCGTTTATTTTGATACATCCTGTATATATATATATATATATATATATATATATATATATATATATATATATATATATATATATATATATATATATATATATATATATTTTAGGCAGGATGCAAGCTCGAAGGCAAATTCGTTTTGTCTGTCCAGGATAGTGTACGTAGGCTATAGTAGCCGGGATTCTGCAAACGGATCTCTTTGATAAGCTTGAAGGTCCGTAGTCCAAATATATTATTTAGTCCATGTTATACCAACAAAATTTAAAATAGTTCTATCCGTCATGTTGATTTCGACGCTATTCAGGAAGAAATTGACATGTCAATTTTTCCCTGCCTTGTTACACAGGATATTAATAAGCTGATGTGAAATTACGAAAATAACAGTCTCTTATTACTCGATTTCAGTTAAAAGACTTTTAATGCCCTTGGTATATTTCAAGTTGCGCAAGGCAAAGTTTGAAGACCCATATCTTCGAAAGAACGCGATAAATAAAAAAAATTCGCACGAAGAATATCAATAGAAATATCTAAAGAACAACATTTCTAAATTTTATAGATGTCCGCTGGCAGCGAAGCTTTGAAGTAAGTATAGCCTACATATGTATCTTTATCAATTTCAAGTGATGAAGGCGTTTTACGCAATCTGATTGGCTTGGATCGAAAATGTAAACAAATATACGCTGATTGGTTAAGAACGAAAATTCTCCTTGTTTGTTGCTTATGATAATTAAGAATTATATATTGGATGAAGCTGAACATGATATCAAGAATTATTCAGACTCAGCGTTATCTGCCGAAGCGAAGCTGAGGCAAATAACGCTGACCAAGGTCTGAATAATTCTGACATCCTGCGTGAGCCGAATTTAATAATTATTTTATTATTCATTATTTATTAGTCTTTTATTATTTATTATTATTATTTTATTATTCAAAACGAGCAGAAACAGCAGAGCCATTGTCAAAACAAAATAATTTTACAAAATTTCCCACTCTTTTCCAATTCATGCAAAAATACGCTGGCACTTACAGATACGATATTTATTTGTCATGTTCATGTCTGCACCGAGATGCAGAAAAGTATCTGTAGGCTTTGTATACTAGAAAATAGTGCAATGAATAATAATACCATTTCTCTCTATTATCACAAACACAATGCTATCAAAACCATGCAGGGTTTCGTAATTAATTACAACATCATTAACTAAAACAGACAAAACAAATAATGCACAAAATAATACCGAATGCACCGCAGCCTACGCCAATACCAATCTTGACACCAGATGCTAAATCAGAATAATAGAAACATCCATATAGTCAATTAATAAACTACCTACAAAATATGATTCATAACAGAAGGTATATAGATATAGGAATATATATATATATATATATATATAGGGTGACGTCACACCAATACTTACACATGCCACTGTTGTTGTTGTTGTTGTTGTTGTTGTTGTTGTTGTTGTTGTTGTTGTTATTATTATTATTATTGTTGTTGTTGTTGTTGTTGTTGGTGTTTCCGCTGCTGCTGCCGCCGTTGTACGAACTACCTGTCAATATCAAAAACAAACAAAATTCGTTAATAAAAATGTGGTAAAATACTATTCCCAAACGCACTAATAATTTATGAACCAAAAGAGGATCAATATTTAATATTGAAACTAGAGGAAGGTCGTTACAGGACACTTTAAGATTTTTCTCAAAGTACTATAGTACTTTGAAACTAATATTCAAATTTCAACGTTTGAGAAGTCAGTCATTGAAACTTTGAAACCTGGTAAAGTACTCTATCTCGTTTTTCCCTATAACTTCTTGCCCCCCAAAATGTTTTGGGTAAATCATTTTATATTCTTTAGGATTTGATAAGTTATTAAACGACCATGTTGCTTTACTGTTGTGTCATGATGATACTGGATTTCCAATCATCGAACTGGATCAAAATTATTTCAGTGTTTAAACTGGATCAAAATGAAGTCTTAATTAAAATGAAGTCTTAAGAGTAGGTCAAAATTAATTCACTACAACATTATTTACGATTTGTGATAAAAAAGGGTACAAAAAAGGCTAGGTAATTTTGAAAATAGGTTGATGAAAACCCAAAAAGAATTCGCTCTTCTAATATCCTTAGAATGAACTTTTGAAGTCAGAACTTTAGAAACAGCATTTAACGAAATACGTCTTTGGTTATCAATTCTGGTCGACTCTGGCCAACATCTGCAGTCTTCCTTTTGTTATTTTTAATATGCCGAAAAGTGGATGTTGCATCAATGGATCTAAATTAGTTATTACTGATTAATAATATTATTACTAATAATGTTCGGGTGCATTAAAAGCTACTATTCTTTGTTCCTGAAAATATTAACCAAAATGTTTCTAAACAATGCGCGGACTTGAAATTTTCATGTGACATATATTAGAGCGACATATACATTATATATACGTACGTTCACATTTGCCATAAACTTCCTTGTAACCATATTTACACACATAAATTGTGCGATATTTTGCCACACTTTTATACGCTAATTCGTAGGCTGTGTAGTACAGATTCCTAGATAAATTAAGAAACATATATTTCAGTCATGTTAATTTAATAGGTGCCAATAATGAATAAATCAAAAATCTCGTGACTCTGTTTTGTCGGCCATCCTGTGAACTCGTGGTTTTCGTGAATCATATAATCAAATCATGCGGGCCAGAAATGACGGGCGTGGTTATTGTATTTCCTTAGTAATTTGCATGTCATCGATGCATAACCCGTTGAAATATGGCTTCCGTAATAAACAGTAAATTATATTACGTGATGCTGTCAAAATCGCAAAATTAGAGAATACGGTAGGTTGTTTGCAATTTGCAATAGCTGGTTGCAAGAACATAGTTTGTAGAAATATTCAGCGTAATTTTGCCTGGTGAGTTACTGCCTTTATTATTAGCATGACAAAATTACTGGATTTTCCCAAAACAAACAAAATGGCGGAAAGGTATTTTAACAAAATACAAATGTGAAATGAAATTGCCCTAGAGGAACTAGATGAAAATACTAACAAAAGCACCAAATGTTGCTTTGACAAACGAACTAAATGAAAATACGAACAAAAGCACCAAATTTTGGTTGATAGTTTGGCAGGACTGGGCGTTGGCGAGAGAATATGATGATGACATTGAGAAGTATCCAATTTTGTCATGCTAATAGTAAACAAGGTGGACTTGAATGACTTAGATTATTGCACTTCACTTGGTGGAATTAATATTAGGATGTTAGTGTTTGTAATCCAAGTGAGAATATATACGTTTTAAGACCTAACCAGGAACGACTGCGAAAAATGCAGCACAAGGTCCTCTGGTAGGAATTGAACCTACGGCCCTGCGATTCTTGTGCAGCGCTGTAACCAACTGAGCTACAGAGGCCAGCTGTTGATGTTGCTCGTACAATTAGGGATTAATAGTACTCGTGATGTTTGGAAATTTGCCAATTTTGGCAAAATTTCCAAACATCACGAGTACTATTAATCCCTAATTGTACGAGCAACATCGCATGATTACCTATAGATATTCTGCATTCTTCTTTGTTCCTAGTGACAGTAGTGTAGGTCTACTTCGGGTCCTAAAGTCGCCGACGCAAATTTTTTTCCGTAGACAGTCGGACTCGTCATTGATAGTCGGACGCATCATTGATCAGGGTCCAGGCCTCCGCGCGTACTATATATATAATCCCAATTGAAGAGAAGGAAGTACGGTATTGCAGAATTCCGTCCACTAGTAATATCGTATCATGTAGCCCGGCCACTATTTCACTGGATACGTATATACTAGTATCCAGATCTGTTGCCTCGTTCTAAAATACACCAACTAATTACTAAGACAATATTGCGAATTGATACTATTGCGAAATAATTGTCAGACAATTTCTTCGATTACCCTAGAATCATGCCTGAAAACACCCGCTCTAAAATAAGTTTCATAAAGCATAAAGCTACAACTATAGTTAACTGTGTATCCGCGTATCCACTGCACTAAAATATAGAGCAACCAGAATAGCATGACAATTTGATCTATTAATTAATGCTAACTAAAGCCCCGCACATGCAGACGAGCAATTTTTCCTTGACAAGTTCCTTGTCAAGTTTATTTTCTCGCGTGTGCACGACAAACATTTTTTTGATCAATTTCTCCGTGACTCCGACCGTTATCAGTTTTACGAGCCTGCATGTTGCCGACATGTCCAAATACTTCATGTATATATATCTACTATATTGTATAGGCCTGAAGATGAATCAAACTTTAATACTGCATCTTCAAATCAAAGCATTTCCTTGTCAATTTTTCCTGGTCGGCCGTACACACGAACAGTTCTCCTGCTTGAAAAGCTGACATGACCAGCTTTTGAACCAGGTTCCTTGTCAAGAAAAACTTGTCAATTTTTTGCTATACACCGACGAGCAAATAAAACTGGTCAAGGAAAAACTCTCAAGGAAAAATTGCTCGTCTGTGCGTGACTTAACTGCATACATCGTTCTCCAAATAACGACTTGACTGCGTATCTACGCACGTATCGCATATCCATTAAATTGTGGAGCTATTTATAGCATGAGAATTGCTAATCTAAATGTATATGCCTTAATGTCTAGTTCTCAAAATAACTAGTTGACTGCGTGTCCATGCCGTATCCGCGTATCTACTAAAATATAGAGCTACCTATAATCTATTGAGCCTAAATATAGATGTATTAATACAGTCGTATCCATGTTTGAAAGGCGTAGAATAAAAAATGGATGGGTATTCTACAATCGCTCCAAGAGTTACAAAAGCAAAGAAAAGCAAGTGGGAATGGCGAATATAACTTAATAAAATATGTCAGATGTCAAGCAATAGAATATTTTGAATCACCAATTGCGCGAGCAAAATACACTGGGAAGCCGCTGAATGTTTTGTTTAAGGGCGCAGGTCAAAGATGCGTCCGACTATCAATGAGGAGTCCGATTGTCTACGGAAAAAAATTGCGTCGCCGACTTAGGGCGACTTAAGGAAATTTGAGGAAAAATGAGTTGCGATTCAAGGCGACTTAATCAAGGGCGACTTACGGCGACTTTGGGCAATTTAATGCGACAAATTATGAATTCATAACAGGCAAATGTGAGGGGATTTTACCATACGATAAAATGGCCATCGCTTGTATACTAATTGGCACACGATCTGTATACATCAGGACTCAAATTCGTATATAGAGTTAAAAAGACGAATGACTTGAAACTATATAACCTCTGTACAAATTTCAAAATACAGAGAAGGCAGTAACTCATGAAATCAGGCAAAAATTACACTAAATACTTCGACAGAGTTTGTTTCGCAGCCAGCGATTTTGAGGCAAGTTGCAAACAACCTATTTATGATATTCGAAGGAAGTAGAATACATCATGTCTGTGATTCTGGCCATGCATCCATGTGATATGATTGAAATCAATTTCAGCGTCAAATCTATGATGACGTAAGGCGTGGTTTGGAGTGCGATTCGCACTGAAATCGCACTCCTGTGAACCAATCAGATTGCAGGAAACACCGTTGATCTCAAAATGAATATAATAAGGACTAAAATTGAAAATAATCTTCCGCCCGAAATTTCCATCTACAAAAATCCTTCTCACTGTAATCATATTATACGCCAGCCATGAAATACCAAGTGTTTTCGACGTGTTATAAAAAGGCAAAGAAAATAGTTCGTCGCCAATGCAATATTTCATTTCTACGCTCTTGTAAATATGCAAAGTTGTACGTCGTGTTAGTAACTTCCCCACGAAGGGTCTTCGCTCGAAACGTTAAGTTTTAATTGTACTTTTCAGGTAGTTTAATCCTAACCCAATGCATCTATTCTGATTTCTGGTATAACATATACTAACTCTTTTATCTGGTATTCAAACAGAACCGTGTTTAATTTACACTTACCTACACCGTATCCGACGTGCCAGCCAAAAGCCCGTTTTTGTGCAAGTCGTTCTAAATTTTTTTGCCACCACTTTGGTTGATTGCTTTGTGTAATACACAGAGCTTTTTGTAATAACATGTTTGCTAAGATTAAAAATACGAAATTAAAATATATTGATATACATGGATATAACCGATATATTAAGCGCTGCAACATGAGCTCGACCTCGATTATTAAAAAAAGTCACCAAGTTTAGATTAGTGTCAGATTAAGATTAGATTAGGGTTGATTAAGATAACATTAGGGTTAGGGCTCAACACGTGTCGCGAATTTATTGCATTGATAATTTCGGACGTGTTTTTAACAATTTACTCATGTAGTAAATTCAAAGGTCGAGCTCATGCTTTAACTTTAGTAAGATATACCTATACACCACCAATGTCGAATGAACTGGACTCAGTTCCAAAAGATCACTCGAGTAAACAACGCAACTTAAAGCGGCTCCCTACAGTTAGTACAGCCTAAAAAACACGATTTATGTAAATCCTTGCGACCTGCGCGAGGAATTTTCGTTGCCCGCTAAAATTTTCAAACACGTGAACAAGTTTTCACTATAACCCTAATTTTTTTAAAATTCAACAGTATACGTATGTGTTTACTGCTTTGTAACTTATATTTTACGTTTTAACAATATCGACTATCGCGGACTAAAATGGTATTTTATATGGCTGTCTTTGTGGCACTCTTGAATTGTCAACGGAAACGTATGTAAAGGCTCTCGCTTCCACCCATCGCAAAACCCAGGGCCTATATGAGGCTGCTCCATTTACTGTTCGGAGTACTCCGGATTTTGGGAAAACTAATGGAATAAAACAGAACACGATTACATGATTGTTCTGAACTGTGTGACTGCCCCAACTTCAAAGTAGGGGCAGCTAGAACAGAATACGTGACACTTCCCATTTTCACGCGAATGAAAATGGAGGCGACAAATTTTGTGTATCCAATGCACGCTGCATAGAGTGTTATTTTGAAGGGTTAACCGCTATATATCGACATATACTTATTATATGGTGTTTGAATGCTGGGTTGCGGGCAAAATCGACGAGTAAAAACCTTGCAAAAGCATGCTTAAATGGATATACAAATAACAGGAAATCATTATATGATTTGTTATGCAAATAATTAATGAATATAATAATGCATGGTTGCACGCATATATAATAAACTTAACACTGTTCGAGAACACCGTGTGCACTCCATTTCATATCGTTCCAGAACTGAACATGGTTCCAAATGTTCTAGAACTGTAAATGGAGCGGCCTTTAGGAAGCATCAAAAGATCGGGGGGGGCACCGACTTCCAGGGGCAATTTTGGATAATGATAATTTTGGACCTAAAAAATTTTCTCGGATATATATATATATATATATATATATTTAAAAAACTCATTAATAATTCAGAAGCAAAACACAAAGAAAAATCATAAGCGTGTCGTGGTTATATATGTGATATAAAATCATGTTAATTTACATAAACTTTAACTTTGATTTTCTCGGTTTAGACAAAGTTTATTTTAAAAATTACTTCGCCAATCAACTCGTATAAGCTGAGTCGTTTTTTAAGCCATTTAAAGCTCTTGTAGTCGTGTTTTATCACATATAAAACACTCCGCTACGCGTCGTGTTTTATATGTGATAAAACACTCATACGCGTGCTTTAAATAGTACATATATATATATATATATATATATATATATATATATATATATATATATATATATATATATATATATATATATATATATATACTGTATATATATAGGCCCTATAAGATTAGAAGACAAACTTGAATTACTTCATATGAACTTTATTATATATATATATATATATATATATATATATATATATATATATATATATATATATATATATATATATATATATATATATATATATATATATATATATATATATATATATATATATATATATAGTTTTTCAGTTGATATGTGCTTAGTATTGTTTGCGGCCGGAAAAGCAATGTTCTCCAATGTTTGCAATGTTTCTAAGAAGTAGCACAAGTGTTCCAGGTATTCCTTTTAAATCCAATGTTTGCATGCATACCATCTGACCTGACGAGGTGGGTGGGTAAGGCGTTTGAATAGCTTTGCAATGAAGTGGCTTGATTGAAGCATGCTTTATTTATTGTATTAAAATTTGCACATTTTGATTGGTCAGTTTTATTCCAAATATGGAATTATCACTCTCATTGGCTCTTAGATGTTCCGTCAGAAGCTGTGCACGTGCACACGTGATGAATGCAAGAATGAATTTTGACACTTTAGAGTAATATGGCTGTGTTTAATATGGTTAATCACTTGTCAAGTTGGCGCAGGAGCATTGCCACTAAAATTTATATTGTGTATAAATTGACTGAATGAACACAAAAAGGAAACAAGAACTTTAATAATAAGCTAGTGAATAGATCGGAAAACGTACGACTCGCTGCGTTGCAATTTATCAGCAAAAACGTCGAAACAGGAAGGTAGAACAGCAATTAGCTATTTTTCACTATCACAAACCGCAAATGCATGTACGACTCATATATAACTGGCAAAGTTTGTATTTTATAGCCATATACAATTACTTGGAAACGAATCGCTTTCTTGGAAGCAGTTCTTTTAGAAATCTATTTTTGTTCTCTTTTGCATGATTGCATACTAGCTATATACTGGAATATTTGCATGGGAATTGAACATTCGAGAAGCTTACTGATAATATTTGATTACCGTTCGCCTCATACCAAAAATGCTTTCTACAAAATGCTTCATTCGAATAAACTGACCAATGAAGGATGTACGATATCTTATACCAATTTTTGCTAAAGCATTTGGTGGAGCAGATACGTCTATTAGTTCCCGCTGAGCTGAAAATATGCACTTCGATCTCTTACATATGGCGGTATTAGAGAGTTTAAGCTTCGCGTTATACGTCAAACGGCGAACGCCTGGCAAGGAAAATTTTTACGGTGAGTGAATGAACTTGCTGTTTTAAAACTGAAATACATAATTATTCTTTCGACGCAACAAAGAAAATATGAAACGCAAACGTTCAACGAATATTTTGCCCAGAAAGTTCGAACCTGCCGTTTGCCGTTCCTGGAAACGTGAAGCTTAAACTCCTTATTAGCTAATAATCTGCAGCCGTATAAATGAAACTGGCATATATACATATTTTAAAAACATTTAAATAACGTACAATCCATAAACACAATAATTTCTTAAGAATTATAATTTTATAAAATGCCTGGTACCTACCCTTGTTTGTTTGTTTGTTTCATGCAGTTGACGACATTTATTGACCGTTCGGCGCCGGTAAAAATATAGGGCAAAGAGTATACGTTAGCGAACTTCAAAATCTTCAAACCGTCAGTTTGACGCTGCATGGGATCACTGTCACCGGAAAATCCTGCTTGGGGTGAAATTGATCATATCGAATACGTTCAAACCAATTATATTATTGTAACTGAAGACCAGAATGATAATTGCTAATACATGCATTAAGAATTAATATTTCCTAAAATGTTGCTCATGCCCAAACACGTTCTGCTTCACTTCAGTACAGAATTAAAGTTTTTTAAACCCAGCTTATATTTGTCGCCCTATAAAGTCTGTTTTCGATGACATAGCCAGGGAAATGAATGGGATAAAACACATGCAAGCTGGGAAAGCTGCATAGTCTTAGACGATTCTATCGTAAATGTTAATGCGACAAAGTCATGTTCGACATTTAAAATCTAGATCGTCCTTTGTGCGCTTTATACAAATCAGTTTCAATTAACTGGCTTTATATAGAGAGAATCAAATCATCAACACTTAATTATTAGATCGGTCACTTTAAGCTTTGCGTTCATACGCATTTTACGCAAAAAAAGCAAAGAGTAGATTAGAATAGAATATATTTACTCAAAAAATATCTACAATGGAAATATAGTTAAAATACAATAATATAAAAGGAGCTAGAGACCTTTTGAAATCCTGTTGGACTTTTGATTTAAATTTTTTGCCAGCACCATATAGGGCGACCTTTTGTGTTCATCCAGTCTTGGGAAACACCTCGATTTGTATATTTATACGTATTCCGTAAGGATTAAATGGACTTGTTATTTTCAAAGTGTATAATGAAGAATGATCCTTTTCACGTAACAAAGAAAATTAAACATGAAGCCAGGAAATTAGATCTCAAACGTAAGGCTTAAACTCACTATAAATGTTCACGGCAGTTAACGACAAAATCGAAACTAGGCTTACATGCACCAAAAGAGAAAGATAAATTAAGAAGAGAAGAAAACAAGGAGATAATTATATTGAAACGCTCGATGGCTTTATCTCACAGTATTTTCTCATTTAAAATGGTGCTATACTACGGAAAACTAAATCACAATAAATTAAAGGATATAGTAATATTCAAATGTAATCAATTACAGAATAAAAGATAAAACATACCCTCCCGGACTCACTGCCTCCAAATTCCTGAATAAAAAAGTTAAAACCACAGCACCGAAAAACAGAAAGGTTGCTTTTGCCATGAGGAACCGGTTGAAATTTACTGCGTGTTAATCAACGCTGGATATAATTCTTTGGCTACGCGATCAGCGATCTGAAGTTAATTGATTTCGAGGAAGAGACTATATAGTTATTAATGCAAATAATATCATTTTGTATGCATGACTAGGAACTATGTGCGCAGCAAGAACACTGATAACACCTATACATTTGTTTAACGTTAAGCCTACTGCTGTAAAGCATGAGCTAACAGGGGATGTAAACCGAGAAATGTACGTGATTATATGAAAGAAACAAAGTGAAGCTCTTGATTTAAACGTAAAATAATGAACATTGTGCATTTTAAAAGAGGCGTCAGTGTGTTTCTCCCGCAGAGAAAATGTTTTGAATGTGTTTAGAATTCATTGTTATATAAACTGCTACCGCTACAGTGGGGATGTTTTGTAAATTTATAAAGTTGATTCAAAAACGTCATGTGCCTTCATTATGTACCTTCGTGTAAGGATTGGAAACTAAATGTTGTCTATATATTTGTCATGGTTTCCGCTTTCTGTTTTCGATGTTGTGTTTTTAACGTTTTTAAGACACCATGCAGACATAAACCCTTAATTATTATTTAACTTCTGCATGATAAGTTTCCTTTCAGATAGACAGCAAAGAGTGCATGAGAGTAAATGGAATCTCTATGAAATTCGTAAATATGCAAGTCAAGGTGTTCCCATGAAAGACGCTTCTAAATGGTCGCCCTATCGTGCTGGCAAAAAATTTTGTCGGATAACATTTTTTGCAAGAAGCTGGTAGGCCTAACTATATATACTAGATGAAGTCCAATATGCTTAGTTGGTATACAATGCTGTATTTCTATATCACCCATCAATATGTCGACGGTGATATCTAGTTATCTGATTTTGCCGGATGTAGAATTCATATCTCCAGTAATTCTTGCTAAAGATAAAAGTAAAGTGAAAATTCGTTAGAATTTCGTCCATCTTCATTTTTCGACCTGTCATTGAAACTGATATAGTAAACGTTGCATGCAGTAGCTTTCTATCGCCATTCGTAGCTCCAGCTCCATATTCACTATACTCTTTTCAATTAGACTCTTCTTTTGATGTTAACAGAATGCGCACTTGGAAAACCTACTGCTCTAAATGCCGTTCTTTCAACTTAAACTGTTGCTCATAATCTAACTTATTACGAATTTTTATATGTTGTGTAAATATAGTGTTCTATAATCCCTGTCTTTAATGTATGTCTGCTTGTTGTTTTGTGTCAGACTGGTTTTCACACGGGACTCATGTCTTGTTGACCATACCTTCAATCATTGTTATATAGCTATTTTATAGCACTTTTGCATGATAGTAAAGCTAATAAATAACTAAATAAATATCTGCTTTATCACTTTTTCCCAAAGCTTTTTCTAGCAGATCAACAACAATTTCTGAAGTTGCATGGAACCCCAGCGCCCCATATACGAGTTCGCACTAGTTTGGTCCTCTTTTTTGATGGACGATCCACTGAGGCATTTTAAAATGAAGCCATAGTTCGCAAGGGTTTTCTTCTGCCAAATTTGCATTATCTATGAAGATATATTGATATACGCATGTGACGCGGGGTCTAAGTTAAATTACCCCGCGGCTGAGTAAAAACTATAGGTGGGAAAATTACTCGCTACTTTTTTCTCCTACACCATATAATTGGGATTTAATTAATTAACTCTTCAGGTGGAGTTACAATAATTACTTAACAAATTAACAGTGCATAACCGGGAACGTTTTATATTTTATAACTATTCAATTACTTGGAAATGGATATTGCTTTCTTGGAAGAAGATCTCTACTTTTGTTCTCTTATCAGCATGATTGCATAAAATATTTGCATGCATGCGGCGAGAAGCTTACTAACAATTGCTTGATTATACGTTTTGCTCTCACCTTCATTGGAATAAATTGAACAAAATTCTAAAGACAAAAATGTATAGGATATATACGGAAACAGTATCGCATAAACTAAATGATATATATTACAGATTTTCGCTTTATCATTTCGTCGAGCAAGGACATATGTTTGTTCCCGCTGGGAAAAATATGCTTGGAATTTTCTTGCTGTAGATACATGCTAACTTCAATCACTTACAACATGCAACGGCAATAATGAAACGGTGCCTGCCTTGTTGAATATCAGGCCGAGCCAGAAAATCCATCTACGATTGCCATCAGATAATTAAGTTACTATGGTATTAATATCATTTGGCTATTCTGCATTTTAATGCCTTGTCCCATGCGTTGTCAGTGATATCTATAACCAATAATTCCTGCAAGATAAAAGACAACAGTCATATTACACTAACATTATTACACATTCTTCCACCTGAAAAACAGCATTTATTACCAAAAAGCGTGCATGCTTCTTCTTATCCATAAAACTGCATAAGTACTAATAAAATTCCTTTTACATAGTACTATCATTATACTTAGGCAAATCATTATCCACTAGTTTAATCATAGTTTCTCTGTATAAACCAATTTCATGAAAATCAAGACAATGACAGGGAAAGATAACAATTTGTTCAAGAGAAAGGAAGGATCCACAACAGGTAATAAGGATATTCCTGTTGTAGTTCTTTGTTTATTGCACTCTGTTATGGAAATATGGTTTGAACATTGAACATCAACACTCCAACTATACATGGAGGAAATTTCTGCTGTCTAAAGTATCTACTCCTGATAAAAGCAAAATGCACTATAAATAGGAAGGGGGCTTGCAACTTCACATTTCCTGTGTAAGGGATGATGTGAATGTTTTCAGGAATAATCCATTTATGATTGGGTACAACTTTTGTTTTTTTGAAAATATCAACATTTTATTACCCATATACTGTATCTTATTGGTTGTATGTTGTAAACTTATCTAACAGAAGCAGGACAGATTCTTATCCTAGATTAACAATCATATGATGTAAGTTTGTGAAGGTCTGAAGGACAACTAGTTGTTTGTTTGAGAACCAGTCAGGGACAGGGGTAGTGTTACTTGATACTAGATTGGCTCATAACTAGGCATAGCAGTAGCCACAAGGTGGACTGGGCCGCCTTTGAGAGATACTTAAATCTATTGAGAAATAGGAGAGCTAATAACTTATACTGCAAAGACATTTAATCAACAAGACATAAAGTACAGGTACATGATTATTTTTTGTAAATGATTCTTACTGATTGTTTTTACCAAGTAGCGAATTTGATTGCATTTCAGGGCTCTGAGAGGCTTCAGATTTCAATGGTGCCTCACTGGCACACCCATCAATTTCTTGGTGACGCCATAAATTGTTCCCCCCACTTCTGTTTTACTGGCTATGCCACTACTCACAACATCAAATTTAACAGTTTCAAGAGTCTCTTAACACTTGATTATATGGCAAAATCGGATCAGTCAATTTGTTGTACGTGCATGGGCCATTAACAGTACACGACTACATGTATATGTTGATGTCATATATAAAGAAGTGAATCCAGTGTAGTGGCCCTGGCTATTTTGCCCCCTATGCTCCCTCTCTGGCCTTGTGCTAATCCTGGTCTATATTAAGTGTATTGATAAATGATTTTCACACCATTTATCTGTGCAAACAAATTCGCCAAAACGGGTTATGTAAGGATGCCACAAATTATAAATTAAAATACAAAGTTGGCAAAGACACATCGCCAGAGCTAAAACAAACCAGTAAATCCTATTACCACAATTTCTCGAATTTTACAAGGTTTTTTTATGACTTTTATGAGGGCCCCCTATACTTTTTGCGTGAAGCGTGATGGGCTTATTTTACTTAGCCGTGAAACGTGATCGATGATTTTCTTAACCCGTGATTCGTGATGGTATGACTTCCAATCTTTTTACGTGCACGTGAAGGAAAGATTCGATTTAACCGTGACCCGTGAATGGCAGATAGAAATATTCG